CAGGTTAATCAGGATAAATGGATGGTTACAGTGGTCTTTCTGTGAGGAGGAACAGGCACGTGCTTACACACATACGCCGAGAGACCTCTGTGTGTGTGTGTGTGTGTGTGTGTGTGTGTGTGTGTGTGTGCTTGTGTGTGTGTGAGCGTGCGTGTAAGTGCATGCGCATGAGTGAGCGATTGAGTGAGAAAGAGCATGCATGCGCGCGTGCCCACGTGCACATTCATCGCCTGTGCCTGGAGATACACCCACGCACGCAAATTCCTAACGAACACAATCTGTTGCTGGCGCTGCGTCACTGGCGACGCCTCCCCGCCACCAGACCCGAGCGGCCAGCACCTGTTCCCGCCTCGCCGTGCCCCTCGAGAGGCCCGCCGCTCGTGTGCCGCCTCGCCCGCGCCCCTCTTGGTATCCTTCCGCGCCAGGCTGCCCGCACGATCGTCTTCAAACAAGTACGCGTCGAGAGGGATGGGGAAAGGACAACTGATTCTCATCGAGGTCTTGCTTCTCATTTGCCTTTTGTGGGTGAATTGGCTTGTCGAAATTACCGGGGTATTACTCGTTATTTCTCTTTTTCTCTTTCTCTAATAATTCCATGTTATCTCGAGCAAACGATGTTGAAAAGATGGGGCGTCTTTGTGCAACAAAAATGTTATCGCTATTGTTATCGATGTTATCATTCGCCTTTTGCGTCGCTTGCTTTTATGACTTCATCATCATTTAAACGGTTTCTCTTGCTTTCGTTTTCCACCGTCTTTTCTTTTCTTACGCTTTTGTTTCTCGTTCTTTCGTGAGCAAAAGGTGCCATAAGTGCTACCTCACTGGGAAGCGTCATGTTTCTAGTCTATCTGCGAGTATGTTTATTATTCAGTGTCGGTTCGCCGGGCGCATACGGGATGGGGAAGACAGGGACTTGTAGTGAAAGGGGGGAGAGGAGAGGAGAGAGAGAGAGAGAGAGAGAGAGAGGAGAGAGAGAGAGAGAGAGAGAGAGAGAGAGAGAGAGAGAGAGAGAGAGAGAGAGAGAGAGAGAGGAGAGGGAGGGAGGAGAGGAGAGGAGAGGAGAGAGAGGGAGAGATAGAGGAAGAGAGAGAGAGATGAGGAGGAGAGAGAGAGAGAGAAGAGAGAGAGAGAGAGAGAGAGAGAGAGAGAGAGAGAGAGAGAAGAGAGAGTGGAGAGAAAGAGAGAGAGAGGGGGGGGCAGCGCTCTGGTTGGGGACCGGTGAAAGGCCGATGCCGTTGATCACATGGGATCAGCTTGTGATAGGTCTCTTTCGTCTAGGCATGTTGCGAAGGTCGTCGTTAGGTAGTCTTGTTTTAACAGAGGGATTTTTTAGATGCTAATGGCTGGCTACAGTGAAAGGATAAAACAAGAAACAGAATATAGTATCCTTTGATGCTCATTAGGATCCAATGGTTGTCCTATACGTACTAGGACAAAGCCTTATTCATCGTCTGATACTATATTCAACAACAAAGGTGAGGTTTCGCATACAGAGAAGCGTTGTCGAAGTGTGATTCTATCTGTTCTGAATTCCTTTGGAGTTCGGTCAAGTTGTAGGTCCTTCTGTGGTATGCTGAGGGCGGCAACGGGATATCATCCAGTAGGGGTAGGCTTAATGCTGTCATCTTTGAATTTCGCACACTCACTTCTCTCTCAGATGACTCCATTGTTCTGCGCGTTCCGCTCGTACACACAGTTACTTTATTCAACTTCTGGAACATCCTCTGCGTATCTTCAACAGCGGTGACGTGGAAGTGATTCACGAAACTTCTTTGTAGGAAAAAAAAGGTGAATCGAGAACCTCCTGAAGGCACACACTTGACTCGACTTCACAATGGGCGCGTCTGCTTTTTTTCGCCGACGATCACGCGCCGCCCTTGCCAGCCCCCGTGTCGCTGCCCTTTGCCACAGTGAACGCTCGGCACACCACTCCGCTCCCCGTAGACGCCATGAATGAACATAAAAATGATCCCACGACATGACCGCAGCCACTCCGACGCTGCGGCTGATCCCAATGATCCGAGACTATCGTCGGTTCACCACGGCGTTCGAGACCGGACGGAGTAAACTTATTTTCACCTTTCGTTTTTGTTTCAGTTTCATTCTCATTTGGCTCGATTTATTTTATTGATCACCGTAGGTCACTTTAATAAAATGCCGGTTTATTATGCTGTGGTACCGTGTCTTGCAAATACAAGTTGGCATTTTAATTCAAATTAATAAAAAAAGTAAAATGTTAAATAACGTATCAGCGATTCCATGCGTTCAATTACCTTTACGTTTATCTTTTTTTCATTCCACAGGCTACCTAAAGCGTGCCACGTCACTGCGCTATATTTCCTACAATTCCCGAGGAAGAAACAGCTTCAGAACCCGATCACACACACAGAACACAACCATGACCTACCATACAGGGGAAGCAAAGGTACGTTTAGTGTACAAATTCACACACAGTTCGAAACAGATTCACAGGAATAACATATAACCCTACAGGACCACCGTTGCACCGATCTGTGGCTGCGTTCAGTAAAGTTCACCAAAGCGCTAGGCTGCGATACGACATATAATGGCAGAACAACAGGTAACGGGACCCTGTGAAAGGTGACTCTTAGTTGGTTTAGCGACTTCCTCTCTTAGTGAACGAACAACTGTTTCCGGTACTCTCTGGATTTCGTACACAGAACCAGTTTGATAACTGTTTCCGTTAATTATAAGCCGTGCATGATTATGTAACGAAAACAAAATAGTTGTGTATATATAGGAGATCAACATCTGACTGACTGACTGTGCTCGCTCTCTCTCTCTCTCTCTCTCTCTCTCTCTCTCTCTCTCTCTCTCTTCTCTCTCTCTCTCTCTCTCTCTCTCTCTCTCTCTCTCTCTCTCTCTCTGAATGAATGAATTTATGTAAAGAATAACCATTGTAATTAATGGAATAAAGTGGTTTGACTTTTTGACTTTGACTCTCTCTCTCTCTCTCTCTCTCTCTCTCTCTCTCTCTCTCTCTCTCTCTCTCTCTCTCTCTCTCTCTCTCTCTCTCTCTCTCTCTCTCTCTCTCTGTGTGTGTGTGTGTTGTGTGTGTGTGTGTGTGTGTGTGTGTGTGTGTGTGCACATGTGCGTTTAGGGAGTGTATGCGTATGGATCTGTATGTGTGCACAGTTTGTGTCTATATGCACGCACATTAAGAGAGAGAGAGAGAGAGAGAGAGAGAGGAGAGAAAGAAGAAGAGAGAGAGAGAGAGAGAGAGAGAGAGAGAGAGAAGAGAGATCAGATGAAAAATATAATACATATATATGTATATGTACATATATATATATATATATATATATATATATATATATATATATAATATATCACAGTGTGTGTCTATAAATGGGTCGACTGTGTGCTCTGAAGGCCGAACACGTCTGCATTTTCAATAAAAAAATGAAATAGCTGGAAGCAAACTTGAGTGTAGCAGGATAGTAATCGAACTATTTACACTGAACACTCTTTATCTGATAACCTGCCGCATTGATCTAATACAGCACTTGGTGTTGCTCTTGCATATGGCCTCGTGACCCCACTGAGGTTTTTCTTCCTTATGTTTGGGAATATGACTAAATCTGTGGAAAAGAACACCACTTCTCTGAGGAAAATTCGTAAAACCGCATTGACTTGCTGCTGGGAATTGCGTTTTTCTTACGCCAGTGATTTTAAATGTAAATGGAAGTCAGACAACCTACCAGGAAGTATTATCAAACAGAAATAGTCATCACAGAGCGGCGAGTCGAGAAAACGGAACTCTCGCAGCGCCACCGGCTTCAGGATGAAAATGAAAAACGAGATCTGACAATACTTTTTCCTTCAAATCTTTTATCCGCCCGGTTATCATTGTATCAGTTTATGAACGGGCGTCTCTTCCCGCTCCTTTGTGTGTAAGTAGACCCCAATATCGCCAAGAGAAAGCGCGCGTCTAGACACAAAAGTGAGGCAAACAAACAGACATAGAGCCAAGTCCCTGGTGTTGATAGCGAGCTGAAAAAGTCTTAAGATGTTGTTGAGTCATCGTTGATTAGGTAACACACGGATCTCTATGTTCGTTATTTAGCGTCGACTTTATTTTACGACGAATAATGATGTATCTCATGTCCTGCGTGTGTGTTTTAAAATTAAGCCCAGGAGAAAAGTAATGGATAATGATGTTCATAGATGATTATAATGAGTCACGTGAGGATGTTCGTTAAGCGCGCAAAATTACAAGGAAGTGTTACACTCTTGCGTCTTCAGACACGCCATTACGGTAAAATAATTCGAGAATCTGACTGTCAATAGATGAACCAAAATGAACAATTAGGTGATGAAAATAGAAAACCTTTTGTATTTGACACGAGCGAATCTATTTTGGAAACCACGTAGGCAAAACCTACACCACGCGTTTTACCTGTTAATAAAGAGACTACCTGCACCCACAGCATCGCATATCGCACAAAGACGTAGAGACAACTATTAAGATCAGGAAAGTGTGGAGTCATTGGCATCGTAGCATGCAAAATCACGCCGTATTAAGTCCCCACATCCTATCACACTCACGCCTCATCTTGAGTTCAGTGTATGTGTCTGAAGCCGAAATTTCCTTCTCTTCGTTTAAATTAAGGCTCCTCCATTAATGCCCGATCTTCTAGTCTTTAAATCTACCTAGAATGAGGATCCCACGGTATTCTTCACATGAGAACATCCTTGAAAGGAAACTACAGGATATCCGCAAGAGAGGAAAGAATAAGGATGCACGTGAGAAAGAAAAAATGTTGGCAGTTTTCCCCTCATCTCTAAATAAAACCCGAAAATTAGGATAAAGATTTAATGATACATATATCTTCATTCCACCAAGCTGAGTGATTAAAAATCTTTAGAATCCCCACGAGAGTGTGAGAAAGAATGAAAAAGAAAAAAAAACTCCTGGCAACTTTCCCCTCCATCCTTACAGACAATATCCCCGAAAAGAAAGGATAGAGATAACACGTTGGCCACACTTGTCCCTCCTTTCAAAAGGATACGCTGATCCACACCCTAGCTATCCTTCAAGACGAGCGATTAATCTAAGGATCCCCCACGAGAGAAAACCTGGTGGCATTTTCCCATTTTCTGCCAGCGCGGACATTCCTTTCTCCTCCCTCAGTTGCGAGCGTTCAGTCAGCCAGGGCGGAAGTCCTCGCCATTTTGAGTACACGACCTTAACTTCTCCGGATATCCTTATATTATATTGGGTCTTTTTACTCGTCTTTACTCCTTCTTCTGCCGGTGAGTATGTGGGGGGTTTTGCAAAGAGGGGGACTGAAGGAGAGGGGGTTTTAAGCTCGTAAATTGGGAAATGCGTTGGAGTTGTTTACGATCTGTGTCAAGGATCCAAAACCCCGAAATCTTGATTAAGGGTTTTTTTCGTCGATTTATGGGTTGTCTGGGCTGTTGTAAAGGGTTGTGGGCAGCCCTTAGTAACAGGAGGATTCGGTTTTGTCAGAGGAGGAGGTAGAATTTCGCAGGGACTTGGGTAAAAAGGGGTTGAAGAAGGATAAGGTGAAGTTAGGGTCACGTCGTTCCGGGTGATCAGCTGATGCTGTTGAGTCAAGGTGGCTGTCACACACACACCCTGGCACCACTCAGCCACGGCTATCACCCTACACCCTGGCACTGCAGACTTTGGCACCACACAGCGACGTCTTTCACCACACATCCTGGCACCACATAACGACGTCTTTCACCATACACTGGCACTACATAAGCACGTCTATCACCTCCCACTCTGCACCAGACAATGACGTGTATCACCACACAATAGTATGCATAACTAAATAGCAACATTCACCACCATACACCCAAACACTATTTACAGTATTTTGTCATCACATAATTGCACCTGTCACCACATGCACTAACACCCCACAATAACAATAATTGTTACAGAATGATAGGTTGCCATATAATAGTGTCCATGACAACCTGACACCACAAAATACCATCAGTTGCCATGTTCGCTGGAGAGGATTTTATCACAGTGCCACCAGACAGTAGACAGTGCTGCCCTTTATCGTATTCTGTGAGGAAAGAGTTCGCCACGGCACTTGCCATTTGGAATTGACACCTGCTACCACAAAGAAGCACCTGCTGTCGTATCCTACCTGGCACTGGTAGGTCACTGATTCCTCAGTCTGAATGATTCTTCTGTTTGCTCTGAAATTTGTTTAGTTTAAACACATTTTTGGAGATTGATATTATGTAGAAAACTCAAAAGGTCAATTATGAATAGTGAATCTTGATACTGAAATACCGAACCAAGGATAAAATTTCGAATTGGTATTCAACTGTCTTGCAGGTTATCCGATAGCCTTTTCATTTGCTGTCATAAAGGGAACTTGGGAATGAATTGGGTAGTATGTGTGTTTCTTTGTTTTATTTATTTAGGATTTAGTAAGAGTGTTGTAACTTGGAAATGTCTACAATGTCAGAATAATGTTATATTTGATATTCAGAGCACTAGATAGATAGTGGAGCATTAGATATAATGCAGAAAAGAAAAGAAAAGAATATTTAGAGTCATTTTGCAATTTACAATTTTTATAGGATTCTTATGGAAAGAATAGAGATGGATACCGGAAGAAAATCCATTTGTGGATGAAAAATACATCATTTATTGTAGATATTTAGTGATGTACTTGTATGAAGTATGGAGTTATATTAACAAAATTACTTATTGTCCAATAGAAAATACTTTTATTTGTTTATATAAATCTATATATTTTTTAATGTATGCAGCCGGTAACGAGATCTGCTTTATTGCAGAATATTACATTTTATGTGCATATTTCATGAATGGATCGTGGAAGATAGGTTGAGATTTATGTAAAGGTCTATGTCTTAAAAGAAATATACATGCTTAAAGGTCAAGGTTATTGATCAAGGTCACAGAATCTGGTTATATCTGATTTGTTACTAATTTTGTGCCAGTATTTAACCTTTCCTTGTCAGTACTTTGTGTAAAGATGCTTTTAATCTATCTTATTTTCTGAATTGGTCTGATAACTGCCTTTCTTACCACTTAATTTTATAATTTACTTCTTGCCATATCTATATCAACCTTTTCAAATAGTTTTGGCTCTCAACATTTCCATACCAACTGAACCAGTTTATTGGGATACTGTGTATGTCATTGGTAATTTCTCAAGATAATTCTTCAGTCTGGAATGCTGGCTTTTTATAGAACTATACATGTATTAGGTTCCTCCATTTGCCAGAAGGCTGTCACACCCAGTGACTCACTTCATGTGTCACGTAGATTGTTTTGTGTTATTTTATTTCTTTTAGTGTTTCTTAGGTTGGGCTATGATACAGTGATTAGAAAAAAAAATACTGTATCATCCTTTGAGCATGGTTTGAAGGTTCTTGCCATAAATATTTATGTTTATAGGAAAAGTTTGAAATAATTTTGTGAGTCAAGGAAAATTTTGATTTCGTCTTTTCTGGTTTGTTGTTTACTATGACCAGAATGATTGTGGTTGAGAAATATGTGCTAGTATTAACTGCATACCCTAAAAAAGTATAATCTACATGAAAATATGATAATTACAGGCATTTCCTGTCATAAAAAAAGAAAAACAGTCTTGTCATGCCAGGGTACTATGACAGGCACATGATCATGGTGTAGGTATTCTGTATTTTGGTAAGATGTTGAAGATATCCACCCGCTGTATGCTGATCACTATTGCTCCTCTCCTATCAGTGTATCAGTAAAGACCAGCAAACTTCTACATAGATAATTAGACCTTCCTGATGATATTATCGGTTGAATTAGGAATTGATCCGAGCTTGGGTCTTGGAATATATTCATTGTAGGTATGTGGTCTTTGCCGGAGTGCAAGTCTTGGAGTCCTTGGTCATTGTCTGATGTTGCACCACAGGGTAATTATGAGAAAAAGTACCATTCTGAAAGCCAGTGTGTGTGTGTGTGTGTGTGTGTGTGTGTGTGTGTGTGTGTGTGTGTGTGTGTGTGTGTGTGTGTGTGTGTGTGTGTGTGTGTGTGTGTGTGTGTGTGTGTGTGTGTGTGTGTGTGTGTATGACTTTGAAGCATACATACTTTCTCTTTTTCCATAGTATTACATATTTAAAGATTATGTTAAAAATGTTTTCCCCCCCTTTTTCTTAGCATGTTGGATCGAGTTGAAAATGTAGTGCATTTTAGTACCTGGAAGAATGTATTATGCTTTGACAGCTGGAATTAAAGCTTTTGATACTTTGAAAACCACATTAACAGTTAGGTAATTCTTGAATGTATGATTACACATGCAAAGCTGAGATATGAGTGTCTTGTAATCATGGGTCTTTGTCTGTTATCTTGATTTTGATAGTAGATTTGAACATTAGAAAAAGCATAGATTTATATATGGTCTACCTTGCACTGATTTTGGTTAATAAGATTATCATAGTCAATAGATAGGAAGTGGTGTGGAGACCTGCTCTCTTAATTCTTTTTCGTGTTTCAAAAGTCAAGGTTGGAAATAGGTCAAAGTTTGGACCAACAATAGTGTCATGTTTCTGGAACAACACAGACTGTCCTCGTTTGATTTAGCTCACACTTGATAGCTAGGTTGGGGCCAGGCATTGAAGAGAATCTTGAAAAAATATTGGTACCCCAGAATTCAAGGTCATGCAGCCAGTCTCTCAGTGATACAGGTGTTATTGCTCTTACTGGACCTTTGATGTTTTAAGAATGTTGAAATTATTCAAGAGTTTATGGGGGGGCAGTAATTGCCTGTTAAAAAGAAAAGAAAAGTTTGAATCAAGCAGCGTTTATATTTAGTTTAGATATTTTAGACAACTTTAGAAAGGAAACTTTCATAGACTTTAATCACTGTTTGTTGACAACTTTTCCAAGGAGAGAAGAAAAAAGGTATTTAGATTTATTCTGAAATACTCTATATAAGTGTATCTTTATTCATTTGAAAGACAAAACAATGAATAGAAACAAAATGTAATGATACTCTTGAGCTGGTGAAGATGTGTCCATTGTATTTTCATGTATTACAAAAACAAAACCAGATCAAGACTCAGATAGCAAGGAATATAAAAGATGCAAATAAGTTGACATAAATTTTGCTTCTGCTTAGGGTTCGTTTTTAATCTAGACTTGATTTACAGAAGGTAGAAAGAAATGACTTTACAAAATGTATTGTTAACATTATTCAGTTTGCTTACAGTTCAGTATGAGTGGATATATAAATATTAATGATATATACATTTATATATATAGCAAACCCCTTCTCTCAGTAGACTTACTTTAACTCAATACTGCTGGGAAATGTAGCGTTCACAGTAGTAGTGTTTTGTGAAATTTCTTTGCACGTAGATGGCTCCACAAGTACTTAACCACCAAGTAATCATTTAGTCGCCCTTGTCACCTCACTTGATTTTACCTTTCCTTCAGTTTTAAAGGGAAAATGTTTTTTTGTTTTTTTTACTAATGCTTTCAAGCTTGATTCTGTTATTATTATTATAAACATTATAGTTTTTATAACGTTAATGACATGATAAGATGAAAGAAAACATTGCCGGAAATCAAGGGAAAGGGTAAGCAAGTGAAACAGATAGTACTAGTAATTGGCTCTTTGGGGATTTAGTACATGTAGAGAAATCTGTGTAAAAACTCTTAATAAACTGAAATTGCTGTGGGCATGGTATTTCCCTACATGCCATCCCTGGTGGCAAGGGTTTAAGTTTAATTCACTGGAGAAACCTGTAACTAAATGTATTTTCTATTAGTAAACAAATAATGTGTAATAAGCATTATGTTAGTTAGCAAGGTGTTATATTGAAGCCTAATGTGTAAGCAATCTTGCTTGTTATGTTAGATTTAGTCAACTTGCAGTTATATGAAGAGGGGGGTCCTAAAATCATGGGGTAGGAAACCTCAAAGGTACTTTTCATTTCAAAATCAAATGCTCAGCTTGGAAAATTATCCTATTATATAGTTATATAACAGGATAGTTTCTCAAGTTACTAAATTTGAGTAAAGAATTAAATAATCTAGATACTAATCAGATATTGGATGACAGTACAAAATATCAGCTGAAGAATTCAGTACATATTATCATCAGTATTTGAGAGATACCAGTTTCATATTTTACGGCTCACTTCAAATGAGAGAAATTGAAATGAAAGACTAATAAGTAAAAGTATACAGAAATATCTAGTCTTTGTATCAGGAAGTCTTATCCCAAAATTCTGTATTAATTTTCTCATTTGTCTGCTGTTTTAGGTTGATTTCATCATTATAAAAAAAGTTTGTTGATGTCTATGTTTTTGTAGCCTTTTAGAAAATAAGCTGAAAGAACTGCAGATAATGCATGCAATAATATTTATTGATTTGTTTATTTGATTATTTTTTGGGTTTATTAAACAACGGTTATAGGATATGGTATATCATTAACTGTCAGATATATTTTTGAACCTAGTTACGCTTGTATTTTTGTATATTATAATATAAGTCATTTTGTGAAGTATGGATTTATTATTTATGCCTAATGATATAATCTATAATTCAGAGTGATTAAGATCTAATTATGATGACAGCATTCCTATTGTGGGAAGTTATTGGTTCGGGGACATGAGTTCAGGAAATTACGTACTCCTGTTATTTATTTTTTATTTTTATAAGTTAATGGCATTAATCATAATCAAAACTGGAGAAAAAGCGCCATAGCTGAGCTAGTCGTATATCCTTACAAAAACAGTATTCCCTCCGCATATGTGGATTAAATTCATCTCAGGTGCTAAAGTGCACATGGTCACTATGTGGGTCAAGGTACCATCTGAGATAAATAATGTTTGGCAACTTGAGGAGCAGGTAGAGGCATGCCATTTTGAGCTTAATGGTGTTTTTATATTGGGCAGAAAAACCTTTCTCCTTTTTTAGTATTGATATTAATGTTATTGTTATTATTATCATCATCATCATTAACATTATTAATCTTTATCATTATTATTGTTATGATGATGATGATGATGATGATGATTATAATATTGTTATCATCTTTATTATCATCATCATTATCATTATTATTATTGTTATAGAAAGTTTCTTTATGTATCTAAATAGGGAATATATAAGATAAGTAACCTCTAATGAATGGAAGAC